CAGCTGGAAATCAGTCCACCAGAGAGGCGGAGAAAGAGAGAGAGTATCTCTATCTTGAGACTCTACCGAGCCGTTGTTGTTGTAGCTCTACCTGCGGCTTTCCAGAGTGTGTGTGTGAGCGGGAGAGAGAGTGTAAGACCCAGTGGTAAATTTAGTGCTAAATAATGGGGGTTAGAGCCTCTTATCAAGCAGAGCCAAAGCAAACAGGTATATTTGTATTTCGTATTGAAAGTCACTTATCTCAGTGGGAGACTGAGGGAGAGCGACGGTTTGGGCTCTCTTCGCTCAGAACCTGTTGCCGTTGTCCAGTTCTTAACCATATGGATGAGGAGAGTTCGGAAAGTGGGACGGAAGACTGGAAGACTCCACAGCGAAAGAGAGAGAGCCAAAGAAGCGAGCCAAGAACCTGTTGCGGCAAAATGGCCTGCAACTTAGCCAAAAACCAAAAAGAAAATGTAAAATTAAAAAACTGAACCCGAAAAAGAAAACAAAGGGAATAAGAAGATCGTGTGGCAAGACGTCCAGCCAAAAGAGCCAGCGAATGAGGAAAGTAAGGGAAAACGGCTGATAAGCAAGGCCGTTGGGTCCAGTTCGGGCCTGAAAAGAGATCTGGGCATCTTGAGGACTCCGATTTCGAATACGATTCTGATTCCGATTCACTCAAAGTTGATTTATGTTCTGTTTGCACTTTTCATTTCAGCGCAAGTTGATTTTAATTAAGAGTGTGTGCTCTCAGGAGAACCAGAAGAGGAAACAGGCGACCCAAGACCACCAACGAAGTCGGGTTCTGAACTTGAACTTCTTACCAAAAAAAATCTTTGAACAATGCGTTGTGTTTCTTTGAAAATTGCACGTTTTGGTCTGCATCTAACATGAATATTTATTGCTTTTCTTAATTTCTGTGACTCTCATATAGAGCGTTTTAGAACAGCCTCATTTCTTTGAAGACTAAACCAATACGATTTTCATGAGTTCAAGTTTAGTGTATGAATAATAAATCTTTTTCAACTCAAAAATATTGATTTGATATATCTTAGGTTAAACTCGAAATGGGTCTTTAATGGGTCGCATACTTCGGTTAGGTTCAAAGCGAAGGTTCTGAGAAAAATGTTCTCAAAAGTATAGGCTGATTCTGTATATTTCTGTAGAAGATTCCCTCAACCCTATAATTTGGATGGTGGGATGAAGTAGTTATTCAAGGCATAGATATATTAGATTTGCACGAAAAAAAGGATAAATAAGGCTATGCCCAAAGTCCACAAATTATTCGCTGGTACTAAAAAATATACAAATCTTAAGAAAAGCAAGTGAGACCCTGAAATCTAGGAAATACAAGTGACCAAAACTAGGAACTAAGAATAAGACATGTAATAGAATTTTTATGCTTTCAAAAAAGAACCTAATTAAATTCGAACTTGAACCCTTTGGCCCAAATCAAATTGGGCTTCAATCACTTTATCGGGCATGACCAAACCGTTAAATCGAAAGCTCTCGGATATCGCACGCAAGCCAGGTGCTAATGAGGCATTTTGTTTCTGCTTTGGCTAATTTATTGTTTACGGCCGTGCTAAGTGAGTGGCGCAAATTTAACGGTACAAGCGAAAGGTTGGCCCAAACATGCAAATATCACTTCGCAAGAGTCCCGAACCCAGAACAAAGCCCAATCAATATCAATGGCTTTGGTCTAACAACGGTGTCTATTTCCAGAAAGATCTCCAGTTCTTTCGTATATTTCCGATTGGTTCATTGAACGATTTTAGACGATCTGTTTTGGGATCTGACCCATCTGCAATGGTATGGTACAACACCTCCTCATCTCCCATTTCGTATTCCCAAACCCAGGTTCGCACCTCCAGTCGTCATTCCCAATTAATCATCGCTTTGGCTTGTTGATCCAATCGCATTTGCTTTGCAAAAGACGCAAGAGAGTTATGAACTGGGAAAGTGCGAAAGGGAAGGAGCCAAACACGTTTATGGAGGGGGTGTACACGGAAAAAAGTTGCGGTTTGGCATTTAATATTAGCAAAGTAGATAACACCTATGAGTAATCGAACCTTCCTTTACAAATTATTTTGGCAACTTGCTGAAAAACAAAAGTTTTCTTGCTTAACATTAAAATTGAGACCATATTATTTAAGCTTTATCGCTATTCAATGGCAATTTGCAACGCACATTTTGTTGAACTTTACCATCTGAAAGTCTTTACTAGTCTACAACTTTTTAAGCTATACCCTAATTAATTATCTTAATAAAATTTTTTACAAGTCGAATTCGTTAAGGGGAGATAGTGGTTTGAGTTAGAGAAGCCGATACTAATAACATCATTTTTATTTTCATAAGAAAGTACAGATTTCTCAAAGTGCATGTAAAGGGAAGCTTGGAATGTGCCGAGACTATCAATCAATCTGCTCTTGCCCCTTGCCGGCCCCTACCAAATTCGGTCTATTGTCCGGCGGCTGTTACCAAATCCGTAGACCGGCTTGACTTTCCATAGGAAAAGCCCCGAAATCACCCGAAGGTTATCGGTTATCCGGACTCCGATTCCGATTCCGTCGCCAGGTCCGATCTGTTTAGGCATTCAGGTGTGCGGAACGTGTGGAACACTCCCTCATCGGGGATGGGGACCCAGATCTCGATATAGCGATATCGCACTGGAGACCCATTTAACGTGGGAAACAACAACAGAAACCTCCAAACACCAGGGCCCTTTTGCGAAAAAATGAAAAGCACAAAATGTTTTACTAGGAGCGGGCCCCAAATGTGAGTTGCATTTCAATTTCAGTGAGACGATGACTACGTCATCAGCTTTTCTGCTCCATATGGCAGTAAATTTGCATTCAGCCATATGTGGTTTTTTCCTGGCCAAAAGGGGCTGTCGGGGAGGGGGCTTAGGGGCATCGCATTTTTAATGTCAAGCAACTGGCCGGCATGCCAAAGGTATTATGACATACATTTCAATTCAATTTTTAGATAAAGATGCGGCTGCAGTTCGTTTTTCTTTCGCTCTTCGAATGTGTATATTTTTGAAAAATGCAACAAAGACGGACGGTGGACGATGGACGATGGACGACATTTGTGTGGCCGGGGCACTACTGAAGTTCCGCCATTGGCGATGATGTAAACATCAAAAACAGATACAGTCTCCCGACCCATTTGTATCTTTTATTGTACAGTAAAAGACAGATAAATGGGGTAATAGCTGACTTTATGTATGCACATAATAAAGGAAGTCAATTGGTTTTCTCAAAAATAACTTAATCTTCCTAGGCTAAACAATGGACCTCCTATCTAAAACCCGAATAAAGTCCCCTAGAAAATATTTATTAGAAATTTATTTTTAGTAAACGTACTCGTAAATGTATTTATCATTCATTCTCTAGCTTAGCTTATATTTTATTTTTAAGATTGTTTATTTTAAAGCTACGAATATTATTATTATAATCCATTCCTTACAAAGTTAAATACTTAATGGTGACATTGTTATATAATACAAACATTTTTTGTTAATTTAAATGAAGATAAATTCCTTGCCTGGATATTGATAAAATCTTAGAATATGAAAGAAGCAATCAATAATACAAAATGGTAAAGCAATTCGAAACATTTTATGGTGTCTTTTGGGCCAATATTTTGCTCTTGGCCAATGACAACTGTGGTGAAGTGCCTGGGGGAGATTGGGCCGAGATCTTCAGATCGAATCGAACCAGCGGCCGTCCTATAACCTGGTGGCATTTGCTGCGGGCCATGCTTCGGATTGTCAGATAGTCAGTTGGCCAGTCAGTCAGTCAGCCAGTCAGCCAGTCAGTCAGCCAGTTCGTCTAATTGGATTTGCGCGCTTGTGCGTAACTATAAATCACACACGAATACAGGCAAAGACGGAGCCGTGGAGCAGGGACAACCGGTTTGATTGCCAAGTCACCCGCTCATAGCCAACTGCAGAGATCCCCATCGAGCTTTTTTCCTCCTCAACTATTTGTAAAGTGACCAAAACGGTAACAACAAAAACCACAGAAACCCATGATGTTGTTGTTGTTCCAGTTCTTGTTTCCCCATAAACAATATAAAGAATATAATTATGGTGCTGCATAAAAAAAACCTAAACGTATCAGCTTACGCAACCCAGAAAATACAGAAAAAGTGGAAGAGGTCTTGTAAAATTTACATGGCACAAGGCCCCTTTGCCGGTCGTGTGAAAATTATTAATGGAGCCACTGTCTCCGGACAAGTTCATGTGTCATGTGTGGAAAGTGTTGGGTATACTAAAGTGAAGTATACTACCTTCCCGGAAAAACTCTATTTCTTGGGTGGGTTTTTAGTTTTGATTTATCTGCCCACCGCCCAAGTTGTGAGCGGATGTTGTAATCTCTATGAGTTGCAAATCTAAATGGCCAAGTTCTAGCTAAAAAGTTGTACAAAACTATGGAAATAACGAGTCATAGATTTAAACACAGCCCGAGCCCAAAAAACATGCCATTTGCCGGTGGTCTTCCATCAAGCCCCACATGTGAGTTGAACTTACGCTGAACTTGTAGCTTCCTTTGGCTACTTGAGTTTCACAAGGAAGGACGTCTGTCGGGGGTATAGAGTTACATTAAACCAATAAAACGAAATGAACCAATGAAACGAAACACCGCCATATGGTGCAACCGGTTTTGAAAGTGGCGCCAAGGCAGTCAATGTGAGTTTTTGGATATATGGCAACACTGATCAACTACCACAAGCTTTAAAAACTTGATGCTGTTTCGATGTTTTAAAAACGTATTATTTCCTGGAGCAAAAGATTTTAAAAAAAGCGCCAAATAGCAACAAAAATTTTAGGAATATCTGGCAGCACTGCCCTATCCATAATTGCTATCGATAACATCCACTTCAGGAGGGTATCTCCGCTAACCTAACCAGGTGTGTGAATCCGCTAACCCAGCAAAGACACCTTCCTGAAATATTAGAGTGACCACTTAAGTAACTTATTTATGCCTGGCAACCCTAGTTTACAGTTAGCTGGATTTTCCAATTCGAAGCGTGGGCGCTTTTTGGGATCATTATTATTTGTAAAATTGCGGGGAAAAAAGACTAGTTTGTGTAAATTCACACACATTTACTCACCATGGAAGATCGCGGCATGTTGGGCCTTGTGAAGAAGGTGGTGCATTCGCTGGTGGTGTCCTCCCCTGGGAGAATGACAATCGAGAAGCTGATGCGGGACTACCGAACCGAAGAAGGCTGCAATGTGCCCTACTTAAAACTGGGATTCAACGACGCCGAAGCCTTTCTCCGTTCCATTCCAGATACAGTCAGGGTAAGTCCTCTCACACTATATGTATAACAAATATCAGGTTTATTAAATAATACCAATTTCCAGGTGATGGGACACGGACCAATGGCCCTGATAACTGCAGTCACCACCGACAAATCGGCTCACATACAGAAATTAGTCCATGGCCAAAAGAAACCCTCCTCCAGGTCCAGAAATCGACATAAACCAAAGTATTGCTACGCCTCCGCGCGTTCAGATCTGGTCTTTATAAACGAAAGCGCGCGAAGGATGAGTGCCAGATACATACCGCCTCGAACTTATCAGCCACCCGTCAATTATCACATTCCCGTTTCGTATCCCAACTACAATCGGCTGCTGTATCCCATCCACAAGCCGGTCATTGTCTACGAGAATATTAATGCCATGATCTGCGCCGGACAGCAGCAGGTGCTATATAATTACTACACGCTGCAGTATTATCTGTATCTCCTGTCGATGATTAATCCAATTAATGCATATGCTTATCCGCAGACTACCCCAAGACCGCAACCGCATACCTTTACACAGAAAGCAAAACCAGAGCCGTTGAAAATTGTAAATCAGACGCAGAACGTTTCGAAACCGGAGCCCCTCAAAGAACAAAAGCGTCAGCCACAGACTATTTCAAGGCCTAAAACTCCTGTTGAGATTAAGCAGCAGAATCCGCCTCAGGAATGGGAGAAAGAAACCGAGAAACTGGTGAAAGCTTTCGAAAACCTCTCTGTTGATTCTCCTCCCACTGGCTACCAAGATAATCAGGAGTACGAGATATACGAGACTGATGAGGAGAAATTGTTAAAAGATCCATTTAGCTCTGGAGAGGAGGAGCAGGCTCCTATACCTATCATCGAAATTGAAGATTCAGAGGACGAGGATGAGGCAGTTGTGCTCAATTTAGAACCAATTTCTGAAGCAAAGCCTCATCCCATATCCACGTCCACAAATTTGGAGGATATTGTCAAGCCCCGAGGACCTAAAGAGCCCTTCTATGATTCATCTTCCGATGATGGGGACGAAGAAAATGCCATTCCTGCTTATGCTGTGGTAGGACACATCCTAATTAATTAAAACATTTGATTTAATTAGTTATGGCTTCTTTAATTTTAGGACGAACGAGTTTTAGGTCTTGATTATCCTATGGATTCGGTTCGTTTTGATTTCAAGCTACCTGAGCGCGACATTGACGCCATTATCCAGTTGGAGCAGCGCATTGAGGTGCAGTTGGTGAAGGTTGACAATCCACACAACTTCTACTTTTGGATATATAACGAAGAGTATGATGACTACAGGGCCTTAACCTCTAATATGCAGTAAGCTAAACGTTACTTAAACTTAATATGAATCATTACAATTTTGTGAACTATTTCTCTAGAATGTTTTACGAAAGTCGTGAATCGGAAAAGTACGCCATGCCGCTGTGCTTAATAACTACTGATCACCTTTGCGCTGTGCGCCACAACCACACGGGTGTGTGGGAAAGAGCCAAGGTAGTAAGGTACCGACCAAGTAACACCAGAATGACTATCGAAGTGGAGCTGGTCGACACTGGGAACCTTATGTGTGTGAGTCACAAGGATGTCAAGTTTCTGTTGAAGGAATTCGCCGAGCTGCCGGCGCAGGTATTGACCGGTCGATTGGCCTTTATAACTCAGTTGACGGCACCAGTCTGGTCGGCAGAAGCCGTCAAATTCTTCTATAATTTGTCTTCCTATCGCAGACTTTACGGCCAGGTCGAGGCTATCAAGGTGAGTTGATAGACATAAAAAGCACCTTAACAAAATACCAATTTTGCATTTGTAGAACAACACTGCCTATCTTGTACTAATTGATCCCGACAAAGTGCCCGTTATAAACTTGAATAAGTCGCTGATTGACTCCGGTTGGGTGCTTCGCAGCATCACGGCTTAAATGTACAATAATATTTGTTCATACATACCAGTTATTATTCTAGTTAAGCGTTCAATCTTACTGTTCAGACCACTGAAAAATTCTTACGTCTCGGCATGGAATGTCAAATTGTTTCTTATGTTTCCCATTATGAGATCAATAAAATTCGTTATCGTATTATTTTAAGGCAAACGCTGTCCTTCTGCTTTCTTTTTATTAGTTTACGTGTAATAAAATACTAAGTTACATAAATCCTTCAACAAGTCGCTGTCCTTCGCCTGATTTATGTCCGAAAGTAAAACAAACAAGGACTCAGAGACGAACCACTTGCAAAAGAGATCTCGCTGGCAACTAAATGTGGTTTCTCGAACGGAAATTCGGAATCTGAATGGAAAATCATGATCTTGCTTGGCGGCAGGCCCGCAATAAATACTTGAAATGTAACTGAGGCGCTTTAACAATTCCCTATAAAAGACAACATTGTCTATGTTTTGTATATATATGTTGTGTATATAGTTGGTTTCTTGTCTGTTCTTATTTTTTTTTTTGTTATTTTTTGGTGACCGCTGAAACGACGGCACCCTGAGGTTGGTTTTTAATATATTTTTCATTTGTTTTTTTTTTATTTTGTTGAGGCTTCTCTACTACGTTGTGTGTCGAGTGGTGTTTTGTTTGTTAGTGAGTGAAAAACTAATAGTTCAACTACTAATGCGCATTCGTTAAATTTGCTTAAATACTTTTCTTTTTGTTTTGTTTTGTTTCTTGGGTTGTTTTCTTGTTTTGTATATTGCTGAGTTATGTTTTCCCTTTTTTTGCAATGCGTATTTAAATATGCTATATAATCGCAATAATACATAATTGTTTGGTTGTTTGTTTGTTGGTTGCTCGAGTACATAATAGCTACGCGCATAAATATGTTTTGGTATGCTGTAACGCTTCGCTTCGTTTTTATCATAAGTTGATGCATGTCTGTAACCTGTCGCCTGTTGTCTGTTGCCTGATGCCTGATGCCTGATACCTGTCACCCTTTGACCCGTTCACCTGGCCAGCCACAGGTGTGCTCGCTTGCGTGTGGTTGTGTGTTCTTGTAGTAGGTCCATAGGACTAACGCCTATGTAGCAATTCAAAAGTCTATTCACTTCGTTATCGTTACAATATCGTGGGCATAAAACTTATATGTAGATTTACTTTATATGTCTGTATTTGGTGTGTGTGTGTGGTGTGTAGTGTGTGGGGTGGCAAATCTTCTATGGCTGTGGGTTGTGATTTTCTGATCTGTCTGCTGGCTGCTGAGTTCTCTCTATCGTATAATTTATCTCTGTATGTACTCGTTTTCTCTTTTTTTTTGTTAATTTTTTTCGATTCTTATATTAAAGTCATCACAGTTAGCGGAGCTGAAATTATGAATAATTATTGAGGACATTTTTTGTGTAATTGTTTTATCTTTTTTTGGATTTTTCGTTTTTAATACGTTTTCTACTAAATCGCAATTGCATATATAGAGTGTCTACCATAAATTGATTCTTTTTTTAGTGTACTCTTATCGCGTCTTGGGGTTCCTTTTACTAAATTATTATATACGCAGTGTGTGTGAGTGTGGGTGTGGAGTCCTGTGTGTGGTATGGGTGTGGGCATAGGTGAGTGAGTGCCACCAGCGAACGCTGGCTCAGATGGATGCCCGATGCCCGCCGGCACCGCTCGTCGACGCTTCTCAGTGTCATGGAGTGTTGCCCTCGAACAGGGCCCGGAACTCTCCGCTCCGCGGCCTCGGGAGACCCTCACGTATCGTCTGCACCGGCTCAGCAATGCTCGACTCTGACCCATGCAGTAAATTCTCCTTGAGATCCATGTCACTGAAACGGAGTTCGAATCATTAGCAAACATTGTCATATTTAAAGATCGATTATTAATAAAAAAAGGCTATATTTAGTAATCCTTAAAGGTAAAAATTTCCCTATAATGGGAAGGGTAGGAATAATTAAAAATATAACTTCTGGCCTTACAAACATGTTATATAATTGTATGTATTACTTTCATAGAAGTCTAGAATATCTCTGTTACCAAATGAGGTAAATAGTTTTATGACTTGGATCATCATCTTCTTTAAGATATGAAAGCATTTCTCAATCCCTAGTCAACTTACTCATCTTTGCAGTCATCCGCCTCGGCAGCCAGGGCATTCACCACAGCCGTAATCGTGTTCGACTCCGGATTGCTCAGCTGCTCGTCCTTCTGATGCATTATGTTTGGATTCTTGCCAATCTTGTTCAACCGCTCGGCGGCCACAGTCTCCATGGTCTTGCGCATCAGCGGATACTGATCCAGAACGCAATTGAAATGATCCACGCTCAACGAGAATAGATTGCAATAGGTTTCGGCTCGCACGCTGGCCACACGACGCGCATTGGTCAGCAGACAGATCTCACCGAAGTAAGAGCCATCCGATAGTGAGGTGGCAACCTGGTTAGAAAGTTGGTAATTAGTCAGGGAATATACGGAATTCCACTGGGTTTTTCTTACCTCGCCGTTGGCCATGACAATGTCCACCACGCCCTCCTGTATGAAGTACATCTTAGTACCGATCGTACCCTCCTTTATGATAATATCACCTGAAAGAACCAGACAAATTGTTATTTTCATTGTTATACAGAAGGTGGAAAAACCTACCTGGTTGGAAAACTTCGTATTTCAGTTTGGTAACTACGTCGGAAACGAAATTCGAATCGGCATTAGCAAAAAAAGGCACTGACGCCACGAGGGATCTGTAGAATATTAAAACATTGAGATATATTAGTTATGAACTAGGGTATAGATCATAATACTAATCCTACTGGTTACTATACTACTATTAATGGCTGAAAGTAGAAACAATTGAAAAATCACTGAATAGTGACAGATCCCCCACCTGCAGTTGTAGTTGATGACATCCTCGCGCAATTTCTCGCTCAACTCGCCAAGTATCAACTCTTCATCGAAGAATTTACCCTGGTACCGATGCTCGAAGTATTCCGTGATGCGCTGTCGCATGTCGCGTGGTAGCTTGCGATAGGCCATATACTCCTCCACCTGTTTGACCTTCTCGCGATACTGGCGCCGGCTGGAGTCCAAACTCTGGATGAGATTGGTCGCGTGACCGAGGAACAATGCGTAACAGGTGGCCCCGGATATCATCGACAGCATCGTGAGCCACATGTCTGTCAGTGATTGTGGTGGGAATCTGAGGGAAAAGAATAGGTTGTCTTTGAAGTAGTTTAGGATAAGACACATTGTTTTATGAAACATTCGGTATTTTGTCTAAATAAGTCTCTTAAGGGGTCATTTTGCAGTAAAGTAGATAGGGACAGTAGTAAACTGGGTGGGTACCAGCAAGCCCAAGTAGATGGGCACATTAACTCACCTGCCGTAGCCTATGCAAAGCATGTGCGACATGGCTTTAAACAATGCCCACGAATACTGCTCCAGCCAGTACGATTCCTGTAATGGAACAGCCCATTTAGATAGCCGATACCAGCTAGAAATGGTTTTACCGATGTGGACCGACCTGTAACTCGTTGATGGAGACCCAGGAGTTGGATGGAAAACCCTGCAACATTGGCACTAAGAACTGCAAGCAACCGCTCCAATGGCCGATCAGGAGCATCATGCAAATTAAATTGAAGATCCTCATGAAGACCGAGGCCATATTGAGGAACTGCAACCAGAGAGGTCAATCAAAAAGAGTGCACATCAACCAAGGCCCAACACCGCTCTTGTGTGTGTTTGTGTCTCTGTATCTTTGTGTGTGTGTGTGTGTATGTGAGGGTGTGTTCGAGTGTGTATGCGTGTGTTAATGTCTCAAGTAAACGAGAGAAAGAAAACCCAAACGAGGAAATTAAACTTGGAACTTGGAAAAATTTATTTGCAATTTGGCGCAATTGGTGACGTCATTTGCGATTCCAGCTACCGGTATTAAATATAACAGTTATTGCGTTATGCCAATCAAAGCAACTAAAACAAACCAAACCACAGCCATTAAACAAGAAATTACTCAATCTCCCCACTCTGCCCGATTAAGTATGCAACGAATACTCATACTCGTAATCCTCGGTCTCCAGATCTTCGGATCGGAGCAGAGCGGTTCGGAGTCGATATACATAGTACATCCGATAAGATAAAATAAGATAAGATTAGTCTAGTGTTAGGCAATACAACAGTGTCCGGTGTACTGGGTGTACTTTGTGTACAGTGTACAACCTGAGCAATCAATTCAAAACTCAATCAATTCAAATTCAAACCATTTCTACATTTCGAATAGGTGCAAAATCAGCTTCTAGTTTATGGTACAAGTGCTCATCTTTACTTTTGTTTGTTTTTTGTTTGTTTTGTTTTACGTTTGTTAAACATAATTATGGACACTAAGCCGTTCAAACGTTCAAAATATCGAAATCGAAACTCGTATTTTACAATGAAAGCGTTTTTGTTTGTCTGACTTTCGCAGTTGTTAGTAATTGTAATTGAACTACGTAATTCGGTAAAAAGAACGGTAAACAAACCAACGGAATGTATACAAGAAATTAACGGAAACGGTAAACGAAAACATAGAGCAAGAGCAGGAACACAGAGCTTTAGAGAAGATAGAGAGACAGAAAGAGCGAGGGAGCGGTATTGAGATAATAAAATAACAGTTGTTGCATTCAAGAATTCAGTGGCTGTAGCTGCATGTGTGCGTGTACATGTGTGTGTGGGTGTCACTTCAAAAAGCATTTTTTGTATTTCTTTTCGCGCTCCTGCTGAAATCTTTTGTACAAAAGAAAGTGGAAGAAGAGACGGATAAAATAAAAAATCAAAGAAACCAAAACCAAACCAGTAACAGTAACAAAACAACAAGTAACGTTAGCAGAGGAAGCAAAAAAGAGTAGAATTTGTACACAGAGAAAAACATCATCACAAATCTTAGCAATTTATCTTTTTCATCAGCTTTAATCATTTTTAAAATATTATTATTTTTTTTTTTATAATTATCTAAGGTTTTTGTGAAAAACATTTATATTAAAATTATTTAAATACGTTAAATAATTCGTAAATTCCAGAATTTTCTTCAGTTAAATCCTTTAAATTAGTTGGATATTACTGATATGTTAAAAAAACTGATATGATATTGGGAAAATCAGTAATAAACTTAAGTTTTCTCTGTGTAGTTTGGAGAG